CAATAGAAAATCAAAAACCATAATATGTTAGTAGTAAAATTTAATTTTTTTCATCAAAAAAACAAATATTGAAAAATGTTCATTTTTATTAGTATAGGTCTGTGGTCTAGAGGGGAAAAGGAAGAAAAGGGAAATTTAAAATGGCGGAAAAAGGGCCCGAAAATAGAGAAAGATCACTAGGTACCCTGGTTCGTGAAGCCTATGTTTACCAAAGACAGTAAACCCCTTAGGAAGAGAAAAGATCACTAGGGCACCTCGGGAGCGTGAAACCCGTACTCACCTAAAGAAGGTGAGCCCCCTGAGGGGCTCCACACTTTGAGAAACACTGCCTTAAGAGATTTTTTCCCTCACGTTTTAAAGCCTTCAGTTGAACTGAAATTTTATATACACGATTGTTTTCGATAGCAGTACGATACTTTAATGATAACTAATAGAAATCAATAACCACTTAATGTTGTGATTCTGTCATATGTATATATTTATGTATATTAATTGTAACTATTTAAAAAAATTAGCTAAAATAAAAAATTTTTCTTTGTTCATCTAAGTAGGAACTGGCTCTCTCTTAATTTTTTATTTTTTGAAGTTATACTTCTTTTGGGGCATTTGAAAAATAGGACAAGGGAAATTTTTAAGATGCGTGCGCACACCGTCGCGGATGCGAAAACGCTTTGTCTAGAAATAGGCAGAACGGGACAGATCATTCCCGCCTTCGATATTCTCAGTAAAATATTTCTCTTCACTTAACTAGAGAAGAGGACACTTGGGTTTGAACCGGAGACCTCTCGATCTGCAGTCGAATGCCTTACCACAGAGCTATACCCCGCGTCAGCGAACCTCTGCTTTGCGTTCTGTAGGAACGGATACGAAAATGCTTTGTCTAGAAATATACAGAACGGGACAGATCATTCCCGCCTTCGAAATCCTCAAAAAATATTTCTCTTCACTTCCTTGAAGAAGAGGACACTCGGGTTTGAACTGAGGAACTCGCAATCTGCTGTCGAATGCTCTACCACAGAGCTATACCCCCGCGTCAGCGAACCTTTGCTTTGCGTTCTGTTGGAATGGATACCAAAATGCTTTGATTAGAAATATGCAGAACGGGATAGATCATTCCCCCCTTCGAATTTCTCAAAAAATAGTTCTCCTCACTTCCTGAAGAAGGAGGCACGCGGGTTTGAACCGGGAACCTCTCAATCTGCAGTCGAATGCTCTACCACTAAGCTATACCCTCCGTGTCTGCGAACCTTTGCTTTGCGCTGATTTGTGACGTCACTACTAGTAGGGAAAGATCGTCCTTCGCCTACGGAGCTTTTCTGATACATTCGTTTGAACACTTTTTGTTATTAAACCAAACATACTTACAGGAAATTAAAAATAATAATAATAAACTAATCTTTAAATTGTGTTTCATGTACATAAAACATAAGCTAATTTAAATAACAATTGCAAGTATATGATTATAGATGTATTTACTACGAACGCATTGCGATGAACATAAACACATTTATTACATTGTAGTAAATTATAAGAGTCTTTTGTATTCGTATATTTATTTTTGAAGTTATACTTCTTTTTGGGCGTTAGGGAAGAGGATGAGGGTAAATTTTTACGATGCGCGCGCAAATCATCACGAATGCGCGTGCGCACACTGTTGTTTAATATTTTACCATACCACTTTTTTGGTGCTATGAGACTCATGTTTGGGGATCATAATAACTATTGTTATAAACCATGTTGTGGGACGCAATCCCCCCTTTTACAGCTTTTTGGCCAATATCTCGACACTCGAGCCTCACAGTCCATTCGGACCTGGCTCATTCGATCCTTCTCTATCTGCTCTTCCAGTTATATATTCATGCTCATAGGGCTATTTCTTCCATAGTTTTTAATTGTCTTAAACTTTTTAAATTTGTTTAAATTCACAATATCTTGGCTCTTGTTCGATTCTCGGACTTGAGATTTGAACCAAGTGTTCTACTCATCGAGACCCATCCAGTCATCTGCTTCATTCCCATTGTGTAGGCATGGGGAGCGCTTAAGCACTATAATATCATGCTCCCATGTTAATCCTGTAGGAACTGGAAAAAATTTCACCCCTGAGGAATTGAGCTTGAGACAATTTTTGGAGGTCCATCATATTTTCGTATTAGCGCGAGCTTTACGTGGAATTGGCCCCCTCCCCCCTACAGGGCTACCCCAGAAATAACTCGAATCCTATGCCACCTCGGTCGACCACACCGGCTGGATTCGATTGTTTTCCTATGAGCATCCTAGATATATTTTTTCAGGATCATAGCCCCATTTCTTTACCCATATTTAACCTTTTAAAATTATTTTAGTTATAATTTTTTTTAAATCCTTCGTAGCTCCGAGGATTTTTGAGATTCGATAATGGACCATAGGTTCTCCTCGTTGATCTGTTTCATTTGTTATAATTCGTGTGTAGATAGTGGGCTTAGGGGGGCATTATCACTAAAATTAGAGAATTCCCATGTTATTCCTATGGGGTTCGATCTTTTGATGACGTAACGATATTACAGAGATAGAAGGAAGGGATCACCTACTACTTTGTGTATCGTTGGGATGTACGTGACCATTTACGTCACAGTTATTCCCCCCGGGGATGTTCGTTTTGTTTTCCTTTCCCGAGCTAGCGCCGCCCCATTTGCAACTACAGACTCAGGACCAATTCTAATGGATTCCTCTTGTGTTTGCTCATAATCAATCTCATGTTCGAGTTGCTGGGTGCCCTGCTTCTATTTTATTTAATTGTTTTAAATGTCTTAATTATTTTAAAAAGACCATAACTTGGGGGCTCTTCAGGCGGATGTCTTAATTTTCTCAGGAATGATTCTTCCCACCGAGACATTCAATATGAAGTCTCAGGTGTCACTTTCGGTTTAGTTCATCTTCAGGTACAGTCAGCCGAACCCCTCCCCATGTTATTGTTCCTATTGTCCCTGTGCGAGGGTGTTTAAATTTATTTAAATCGTGATTATCTCAGGTTTGGCTGGTCCGATTAACTGAAGGTTAGTATCGTTCAACTCTGCTCGTGACTGCCTTTCGTCCTTCGACCAGCTTGCTCTGCTAAAGATTTTTATAAATATTTTAATCTTGTTACGCCCAAGAAGTATAACTTCTTACGTGCGTACATAGGTACACACACACTTTTTTTATATTACTTGTTTTCAATATACTTTAGAAATTACATAAAACAAATTTTAAAATCATAAACGCTATATATTATTTAAAATAGTAATTATTCACATTGTTTTTGAAAATTAATATCCATTCCTTTTATATATTTTACCCGTCAAAAAGAAATCTACAAGGGGAAAAAAAAACTTGCTCTGGAAAAAAAAACTGTATTTTCATCTTTAAAGAATAATTTTATATTCAAGTTCATGAATTTTTAATGAAATTTTCTAGTTGTAGGCTAACAAATAATTTTAAACATGCATTATTTCTTAACCAGTAATTTTCAGCATACACTACTGCATGTGTTCTTAAATTTAATTACTGATAAAATCTGGTAATCTTATATTTGAGTTTTTTGTTTGAAAAATTACGGCACTTTCATTTTTTTCTGTACTGTATACGATATAAGACATACTTTCATGTATTCTTCTAAAATACTTTCATGTATTCTTGAAAGAAGCAAAGAGTATAAAATTCGCGATACAGCAAAATAATAAAAATAGTAATGAAAAGTAACAAAAAATTCGCTAAAAGTCGCATGATCTGGCAATACTTCTACTGAAACTGTGGACAAATTTTTTCCCTTTTTTTCAGAGTTAAATTTTCCCTTTCTCTCACATTGTCAGGTACTTTTTAACATGAGGATTTTTCCCTGTTGACAGTCGCTTTTCACACTGTTATCCGAATTATTTCTCCTGAGTCTTCAAAAGTGCAGGTTTTATTTGGTGCTTTATATTTGTATCTTTTATATATATAAGAAGTTGTTTATTACCTTTGTTTTTTTAAAACTTTTTAAATAATAACTGTCTTTTATTCATGTGGAATGAATTGTAAAACGTACGATTAAGGTTCGTTTTAAAATTAAATGTACACTTTTTATGGAAAAAACAGGTTATTCACGTGTTATATGTTTATATTTTAAAATTATAGTGGATATGAGATTAAGTGAAGTTGTTTTTTCCTACTAACAGTTTGAGTTAGCCGATACTGATAATTTTTGTACAAATGAAATATTTACGTCTTTAAAATTTTTCCAAATTTATTTTTTGGTGGTCTAAACCTGATTGAGCATGCATGAAAATAAAGCAAGCTTTTCTTGACTTGCCTCAATTTGGCTATGTTTTTTGTTTTCACAAAATATGTGTTGATGGTATAAAAATTAATAATTATTATATCTAGCTAATGTTTTTGTTGTAGTTGCATTCTGTTATGAGAATAAAACTGTATGTATTATGCTCAAATAGAAACAGTTACTTTCTTTTGAAAAGTAGTAGGCTTAAAAGAAACCTTCTTTGCTATTATCTTTTTTTGAATAAGTTTTAAGAGGTTGTCTTAAGAGTTTGGGGTATTTGCACACTATCGCAACCATTGGCGTAGCTAGTACTGAGGAGGCCCTGTATCAAAATTGTTTTGGTGCCCTTTTTCGGGGTCCTTTAACATGTTACAATTCTTTGCTTACATATATTGGGACCAAGTATCATTGATACAGTGGTAGCTACACTCCTGATCACAACCTATTCTCAACATTATATGTAACAAACCACATGGTTGACAATTCAAGGCATATTACACATAGGAAATCTGGAATGCCAACTTGGCAAGTTATTAATAGAGTTGGCGATTGTTGCAATAATACGCAAGTACTGATTTTTGATATCTTATTAACAAGAAGTAGATTTAGCATTTTGTGTGTTTCTTTTTCAGAGAATGCTCCTGTTCATTTTTGGAATTTTTATCTGAACCCTGTAACTTGATGGTGCAGAGGCTTGATATGTATTGAGAATATCATTGTATTTGGATTTCATTCAATACAAAGATCCTTCCATTTTGTGTTATGAAAGTTCGTTGTATGATGTATTTTTTATGTATGTTCTCTGGTGTAAATTTTTTTAAATTCATTTATTCACTAAGCATTTTTTGTTTGTAAAGTGGTAAAACTTCTCATAACTTATTCTTAAATGTACATCATGTATCTTGTTCAAAAAGTAATTGTTGTAATCAACTGTGTATACTTTCGACATTCCTTACTTTTCAGTTGTCGTTAACTGAACCAAATGTTAACAGTCATTATAACCTAAAAAAAAATATACAATGCACAATACCTAACATTATGTTCATAACAGAAGTAACTAGATGAGTAAAATTGAATGAAATGAAATATAAGTTTTTAAAAATTTCAGTTAAGGCATTGTAAAATCACTATAATGCATTAACTTATGCAAAGTTCACTTTACTCAAGTTACAGAATCTTCACTGGAAAGGTAATTTTCATTCTATTTTCATACTTAACTGACTAACCTGAAGCATAGTAACATAAAGGCAGTCATCATGAGCCTCTAGTTGTGACATTCTACTGGTTACACTGAAAAGTTTTTTTATTTTAAATATATTGTTCCTGTATACCATGGCTTAGTTTATGTTTTCACCTGCCACCCTAGGATTTCTTCTTATTACTACAATTTCTCTTTTATCAATGAATTTCTTATTTATGAATTTCTTGCTTTGAACTGTAGTTTTTTTTTGTTTTGTTTTTTTGTTCATTCCAAAATTTACCCTCTACATTAGAGAACAACATCAAAATTCTGTTCTTAAATCTTAGTACGTATCCATGAAGTATTTTAAATGGGACTAAAGTGATACAAGATATGTAAAAGCAAATAATCTCCCAATTGATGTTATAGGATGGAACAGACTTTGCCTCTGTCCCTGTGAGACTGTATTACCCAGACATTTGAAGCACAATAACATGGCTGTGTACGTATCTGATCATAGAAGCAAACAAATATTGCTCCTTGGTTTTTGTCTGATCAATAGAAAAATGTCCCCTAAAGTCATGAAACTTGACAATGCTTTTTTATATTTTTAGTTGGAAAATGTCTCATTTACACCCTCATTAATGACATGAAATAATTTGTTTCCTTTCGAAACATTGTTCTTTACCTTTGATTTTTGACTTCATTCTGTTTTAAGTACTTTTTCAGAATTATTATTCTCCCTTTTTCTGCAAGTGATCTATGTGTTGCATCATTATCTT